GCCCCCCTGACCCCGATGACATACCCTGTGGGGAACTTCGTCCCCAACCCACCTGCAAAGGTTTCACGTCAATCGGACCAAAACCCATGGAGGAGGTGCTCCACAGGCCCCCCAACATGGCCGCGGACACCGGGGTGTGGCGGCCGGACTTTTTTTGCACCAAACGGGTTCTAGGAACCCGTAGAACCCCAATCCGTTGTCCCTGTCTCCCTAGCTGGCCTAGAACACCCTTTTTGGGACCCCGACCCCCCTATGACCTGCTACTGGACAGACCCCACCCTTCTACGAAGGTTTCAGGTCGATATCTCCAACAGTGTCCGAATGCAATGCGTCAGATGGACAGAGACAGACAGAGATCCTTGCTTATAGAGATAGATATATATACAGGGAGTTCGTATTTAAACGCAACACAGGGAAGTTTTTGCTTCCTGTTTGTGGAGTTCAGGGCGTGGCTTATAGCTCACCGAGTTGCATACGAGTAAGGATGAAACCTATCCCTTGTGTGTAGCATCCTGGCAAATAAGCAACCCGGTGAGCCTTATAACGTTCGTCGACCTCCACCTACAGGCGACAATATATTCCCTATGTTGCGTTTAGATACGAACACCTAATCTAATACTTTAATTCGAAGAGGTCAACAGTTGCGGCGGTGGTGGTGATGGCCGTGGCTGTTACACCCAACGCGCAGGCCTACGATGCAATCCCATTCTGGATCATAGGCCCGGCCATCTAATTCTTTAATTCGAAGAGCACGAGAGTTGTGGTGGTGGTTGTAACCCCAGCGCGCGAGGCCTACAAGACTATGTCACTTCAGGCTAAAGGCTGGGCCATCCACCTCTCAAAGTGCCAGGTCCTTCAGGTTATGTTATTCTAGGCCATTAGCTTGGCCATCCAACGCTTTTAGCGCCAGGTCCATTGAGCTATATCAGTCTGAGCCATAGGCTTCATACTTAGCTGTGTCAATCAAAGGGTGGTAATAACTGAATGCATGTCACGTTTTATTTTTTATGAGCCTATAGGCCTTATGAGGAACCCTATTGGTTCTATAGGGAGCTCTATAGGTTCTATAGGGAACTCTATAGGTTCTATAGGAGACTCTATAGGTCCCGAACTGAACTCTATGGGGCATATAGGAACCTATAGGATTCCTTTAGGTTCCTATAGGATTCTTATAGGAATATATAGGAATCCTATAATACATTTTCGTAAGGGAAAGCAAAGGCATGTTACACATGTTTGTCACAATGAAGCAATACACACCATCAAAGCTGACTTGATTAGAAAATTTGCATTGGTGGATATTTGAGACCTTCACATGACATCAAATTCTCAATTAGATATTGTTTAGAAACTGAAGAGCAACGGTTGACGAATAAATGCAGCATCTGAATCTCATTGATGAAATCGGAGCATAGAAATATACTTCCGAAGACTCGAAAAGGTCCATGATGGCGATCGAACGGACAAGTAGTCGTGATTCTCTTCCAAATGATCACTATCATGACACTCCCGCTATCCGGATATTATTGGGATAGCTCGGAAGAAGTGGTCCAGAGGGGATAGGAGTAATGTTGGCGTGGACTTCTCGGAGCTCATGCCTGCATGAATGCCTTCATCGTGCGCCCCTGCCATAGAAAATGAATAAAATAATTAATTCATTATGTGAGGCTACAGAGAAGAACACGGAAACCCCACTCACATCTTCCAGTCGGTCAGAGACAGCGAGTAGCTCTGAGGACTGCTCGGGGTCTTCTGTGTCCGCCTCCAAAAATATTAACGAAGGCTCTAGTGCTGGATTCCTCGAGTCAGCCTCTTCCGTCTTCGCCCTGAATTTAATTGTCCAATCGTCTGTGAAGGATACTTTAAGAAAGAAAGAGGCGGTCACCCTGCGGAATTTCACGCAACGGAGATGTCAAAATCGTTGCATAATTTCTTCTCTTGAAACGCAAGGCTTTGTTAGTGGCTTTTTGAACGGAACAAAATAACGGGGTTAGATGTCATGCAACAAATATAAGATAGGTAATTTAAAAAAACCTAAGAAACGAAATTGAAGGAATGAACGCAGCTCCATCTTTCAGGCTTAAAACTAAGCTGAAATATTCCTAAGAAAATTTTCAATAATTTCTTGCTCATTTACTGCATAAACATTTTTTTTCTAAGAAAGTTTATTCTCTCATAAAGGGAAATAATTCATGTGAATAAGATAACCATCAAGATTATCTATAAGCTTTATTCCCTGGGCAAAAAGTGATTTGGGGGAATATGGCCTTGAAAACGAAACTTGATTATAACGGCCCCTCAATGTCAACCATCTCCAAGATCCGGGAGATCTTGATTGAATACTCATTTAATCCCAGGAAGACAAGTAAAAATGCGTTGAAAATGAACATTTGGGTCTTTTCCAAACCGGTCCCAAGAGACTATATCACCCCCATTGTTCGGAAAATGTGACCAAGTATTGCCCGAAACATAGCCACCTCTCAAACAGAAACTCAAGATTTTTGAGCACATGTGAAACATTCCGGACGGCAGCAAGAATGCGAAATCAGTATTTGTCAAAAAAGGGATGTGGATGGATACATCTGGAGGATTTCTTACATGGAGACATAGAGTCAGGGATTTGCTCTCCAAGGGCTTCATGCCTCAACTTGCGACGTCTCCGTCCGATGCCCATCACGATTCCGGAGAATAGGAGAGTCAGAAAAAGTGCCCCGACGATACCGACTAATACTTGTTCCCTCTGTTTCTCCACCCCCACGAAGGGGGAGGGTGTCTCACAGACCTTACCTGAAGAGTGGACAGCAATTCCACTGTGATCTCAAAGAAAGAACGTCATGCCAATTTTTGGAATGACGTCATGCCACGGAAGAGAGCAGTTACTTAATAATGGGCAATGGGCACCGAACCCCGCATCGATACCGCAAGAGAGGATATCGATTAGGAACATCGTGATAGAAATAATTGAATAAATATTGAATGCCTCAGCAAACAGACATGACAGGCATTTCACCCTCTTTCACATTTTAAATTATATTTAATGACTCGTATGACGAAGTCAGATTAACAACTTATTTGGAAGAACTCCATCCACCGAAAGTGAGTTCCATCGGATCTAATGAAGGAAAATTCACCATGAAAACATTTCCTTTTCATTCATAGGATCTAGGACATGTAACACCCTAGATATAAACAGTTATTGTCATCAATCACCGGGTGACAACTATGGCTTCGATCAGCAGCACGGATTTTCCTCACCACGAAGGGAAATTCTTCATCTCCGATCTGAACCAGCATTGAAACGGCATTTTCACATTTGTGGGAGGACAAATTTAGATCGCGAACCAAATATTAATCTCTCTCAATTCGTTCTCGCTAAGTTTCTTTCTTTTTCTCACATAGGATGGCGCGTCCATGCACCCAGGTTGATGGGTTGCCTTCTCCAACGTCACCATGGGTTGCAACACTCAATTGCAACGCGTTGCTTTTTTTCTGTCTTCATCCATTCGCCCCGCGACCTGCTGTAATTGTCTCTTTTCGGACCAATGCAGCCGTTTCTTGCAGAAGAGACTCTTCAAATTCTATTCCTCTGGCAGGGCACGATGGCTTATATCTACTCAGCGAAGTATGATGATATGAATTTTCGCAGTCATCAATTTTGATTTCCGGTCAGCGATGAATGAAGAGAAGCAACTTATTTGCTTCACTTTCTCCAAGAACTTTCCCCCGTACCTTCTAGCCATTTTGGCACGAGTACCTATCCAAATTCAGGACGTTCTACTTCCAAGAAGCACATGCCAGCTGATCAAAATCATCAGGTCGTAATGAGGACATAAAATATTTACCATAGGTGAAACCCTCTCTGCAGATGTATAAACTGGAATGCAATAGCACCATTGGGAACAATTCAGCTTGAATCTCATATGTTCACATGTTTCCTCGCAACGTCAACAAGGTCCAAAAAACGCGATTGGGTATTGTCGCGAATTTGAGAGTTTCTCTTTCATGCGCGCCAAGAGGATGTCATTGAAGACGCTGAATGGGGAGATATACCTTGAAACCAGGCGCACAGAGGCAAGCCCCCGTTTTGCGATCGCATGTGGCTCTAGGTGGGGGACGGAGCATGGTTGCTTGCAGTTGACCCGAACCTCCCTTCCCGACATGGACGAGAACAATCTTCTCCTTCCCAGCCTAAAAGCAATGGCGAAACGCAGCTTTCTTGTCTTCTGAGATTTCATAGTAGAGGACGTGGTTTGCTTGGAGGGCACAGGCTGGTGCGAGCGTCAAGGGGGGGAATTAAGACGAGGGGATAGGGTGAGCTTCCACATTCATAAGTGCGAAACAGAGATCGGTGAGATGACCAGAAACCCATTGGTCATTTAGTTTACCAATCGTCCTCGATCTTCTCGAGCCGTCTTAGGATTCATCGCGCGTATTCAGGCTCAACTTAGGGGAGAAATTTACGAATCTGCAAATGTAAGGATCGTGCGCTCCTTCCTACCTGGTTCACAGCTGCATTTTCCGTCATCGTGTGAACAGGTGGCATTGTTTGTGCAGTTACATTTTGAGACGCAGTGCTTGCCATAACTTCCCTGTCTGCATTTCCCTTCACAAAGCTGACCTCTGTATCCTGCAAAATTCGGGAAGAAAGAAAAAGGTAAATAATTCGAAATGAATACCACATGGAGATTGAACGGAAGGAAACATTTTTCGTGGATTTACCAGGACTACAGGTACAACTCCCATCGATGTGATCGCAGGTGGCGTTATTTCTGCACGGACACACGCTCTCGCAATTTCTGCCAAAAGTGTTATTGGCACAAGGACTGGAGCACCTGCGGTCGACCCACCCGGGCTTGCACTCACACTCGCCGATCCATGGGTGGCAAGCCTCGGTGTTGTCGAACTCGCAGTCACACTCTCCCGAGCAGTTCTGCCCATAGAGACCTGGCGGACAAGATCTATCCTCGCACAGCTCTCCCGTCCATCCCGGTCTGCAAATACAAGTGCCATCGACGGCGGAGCACGTCCCCCCGTACTCGCACTGCAAGGAAACCGGCATCACGCAGCAGAATGAACTGGGAAACCCCTGAAATTCGCACGTATGCAACGATACAGGACAGCTAGTAAGGCCGATGCTCAGCATGCGTGAAATGGTTGCATGCCATCTATGAGGGACTCAACGATGACCAACGCTTTCTCTCTCGTACAATTTACATAATTTGGTCCTCTTCGAGAGCGAATGCGTGAAGCACGCGAACTTCGAACCGATCGAGAGCAAACGAGAGCAAACCTTCGTTCTTTTGTAACCGGTGGGACAACTGCAGCGACCATGGATCATGTTGCAAACCCAGCCATTCCAACAATCGCAGTGATTCTGGCATCCCTTTCCCCAACTACCGCTTGGGCATGGCTTTTCGCAATTCTTTCCCTTGATGATCGGAAAAAAATGCAACTAGATGAATGAACTTCGGGAAATGTATATACTCGTATTATTTGGGAGAACATACCATCCAGCCAACATGACAGTCGCACGTCCCGTTAACACGATCACAACTCCCATTTTCACAGGTACAGTTGTTCTGGCATCTGGATCCCCAACGCTTCTTCGGGCATGGAGTGTTGCAATTTCTCCCCTGTACACAGTAATGTAAACGATCATATGAAGCGGGAAATGAATGAATTTTTCCCAGCTTTTCCTAGCATGTTTTACTCAATGTGGAGATCGAGCACGATAAGAAGTTTCAATCATCGTTAGTTCTTAAATTGTCGGGGAAATTCTTCAAAAGTGAAATTGCTATTTCCCGTTGGATCCCATCCCGGCATCTCGACGGGCGTGAAAATCCCTCGAAAACGCTCAGGAAAGAAGGAACGGTGGCTGCCTACCCTCCATCCGTCGTCGCACATGCACCTGTTGGGCTTAGTGCAGACCCCGTGCTCGCACGGCGTCGCGCAGTGGGGTTCGCACTCCTCCTTCTCGTTCGCCACGAATCCCCTGCAGCAAACTTCGACGCGAACCGACTGTCCGCGGCTCTGCAAGGAGGGAAAGGATCCCGTTGAGGGTGGAGGTCAGGGATCGAAATCGGGTTTGGTCTCACGTACCTTTTCGCCTGGGCTGAACTCCGGAAGTGAATGCGTGTCGGTGCCATACCTGGAGAATAGGAGAGGAACAGAACGCCTCAATACCGAGACCGTTGCAGTTGTGAAAAATAGGGAGAAAGTTGAAATAAATTGGAATTACGGTATTTCTACGATACAGACGTGGTCGCCTTTCAACGCTTTCGTGCGCTGTATAAGGATGAAGACGAACAGGAGAATGAATTGGGGCAGTCTTGGCATTTTCATCGTCTTCGTTTGAGAAACTCGACTTTGGTGAATCACTGATATTACAGTCGGCGTCTCCACTGTCATTCAGCAAAAAATAATTAGTGCCGTTAGCATATTCAAGAATCGGTGTGCACTGTTCTTGTCGTGCACTGCAGCCATAATTAACGATGCCCGAATGATTAATTTAAATGCTGTTAATATTTTCAAACATGTGAAGACGTTAGCCGTTTCTTTTCCAGAAAATTCAAAGGTTAAAAAAAAATCAGAAAATTATTTTACAAATTCCTTCGGCCAAGTGGGGTAACTGAATGCCGAATGTCCATGTCGTATGAACTACCAGAGTTGCCATTTCTCCGAACGTAACATAAACTAATGAACTAAGTTATGGGGAATAGAGGATCTTTGCTTACTTTTACCTACATCACCGATTGTACGTTGCTGAGAAAAGCGAGGACGAGACAGGAAGGCCGGTCGCACTCGAAAAACGCGTCCAGATTGGAGCTCCCGCTCGCGAGCCGAGTAGGATGCACGGACGTATCGGAGGAAGCGGCCTCTCGAAAGGGAAATGAGCAATGCATGCGCATCGCGCGTTTTCCGGCTCGTTTTCGAGATGGGAAATCGAGGTGAAGACGGGAAGGGTTTCTTCCGGACGGTACTTCCGGAAATTCAACCTGTCAAATTAATATATGTATGTACCAATATGTATGTACCAACATATGTATGTTTTTTCTCGTATGGCTTCTCGAAGACAAATTTATCCCCATCGTTCGGTGATTTTCGACGCATTGACAGAGAAATTGCATTTTATTGGGTGTTAGAACTTGGAACCCCGATCATACAGCCGATTCCGCTCTCTTATAAACACGTTGAAAGCGTTTTCTGAGCATTTAGTCACGTTAGGCATGTTAGTCACGTAGAAAATGATGTTATGGTGATGATATTTTAATGATTAAATTAAACAGGTTATGGGAAGGGCATGAAACGTGGATTACTTTACGGCAATTACAACTCTGATTCCTGAACTAAAGAACAACCTAGAAGAAAAAGCGCTGACATAAATTACATTAAATGTTGGGGGTAATCGGGAAAAGGAAATGAACGGCGTATCTCTATGGCGTGTCCGTCCTACCAAGCTATGTCAAGGTCAAACATGCCATCAAGCAATATCAAGGTCAAACATGCCATCAAGCAATATCAAGGTCAAACTTGTCATCAAGCAATATCAAGGTCAAACATGCCATCAAGCAATATCAAGGTCAAACATGCCATCAAGCAATATCAAGGTCAAACATGCCATCAAGCAATATCAAGGTCAAACTTGTCATCAAGCCGTGCGAGGGTCATACTTGCCATTAATGCAGGGTGATCAAGATGTTACTGTTCAATAGAGTTTCTGATACGATGTAGGAAGCCTCATTGTTGATGGGATGTATAGACAATAAATGATGTGCATCATGGATGGTGACAATCTTTGATGAAATTTTGTGCGTGAATTTCTGTAATTGATGATGTGATGCACGTGATATGCAGAATAGTACTAAATAAATGCCGCGAAATAAATTATTTATACTGCACGGTGACTTTTTGAT